CCAATTTGTAGGTAATGTTGTTAATAATTGATATTTTGGGGTTTTAGACAATAATGGATAATTATTTTTCATATGAATTATCCAATCGTCGCTATCATTTTTATTAATCTTTGGTTGTAGAATTTTCCCAATAGCTTTTGAAATTCTGCTGAGCTTTTTCTTGGGATATCCTTTTTCTCTTAGTCTCTTTTTTTTCTCTTAGTCTCTTTTTTTTTTACTGGAGAATGCCCCATTTGATTTAAAGTAGAATTTAAGGATTCTAAAAAAAGTGTAGGGAGTTGCGCATTGTCGTCATTAATTGGATAATCATTTTCTATATCGGTGGAGTTTAAGAAATTATTTGAAGTTGTAGGGATATTGCTATCCTCTAAAATTGGAATACTATTCTTCTTTTTATATAATAATTTGCGACACTTAGGACAAGTATATTCTCCTTTCTTAATTTTATGATACATTGTCATCCATAGGGCCACCTTACGCAAATCTTTCACGGAATAGTGATTTGGAAGATTCAATGGATTTGTACAAAACATATTTAATAAAATATTAATAAATTAATTAATTTTAAAAATTATAAATTAAGTAACAGATAAAAAAATCATAAATTAATTAATTTTAAAAATTATAAATTTTAGGAAAAAAGTAACAGATATAATTATTGGGAAAAATCGATAATTCAATTAATTTCAAAGAAATTAAAATTATTTTAAATATTTATATTATACGCTTATTATTAATTATTCGACAAATATTATATTATGGAATAAAAAAAAATTTCTTATAATGACTTTTTATGTTAAAATTGATATTTTAAATTTCTTGTGCCATCTAGCGGATTTTTTTAAAATGCGATTTTATCTAATTAATATTTTTGGCCCCACTCGAAATTATATATGAACAGTTCTTGGTACTTTTACATAATATCTGAAATTTGAAAAAAATTTAGTCTAACATTTTAAAAAATTAATTACAAATTTTTAACCGCAATTTAAAAAAAATATTTAAACTAAAAATTAATTTTATTTAACATACGTTCAAGAGTTTACTTAGGGCTATAAAATGAGCCATAATAAATATACATAGTGCATCTAATATAAAAGTTATCTCAATTTTAAAAAATCATTTTTTTCGAAAAATGACCAAGTTGACCCACTTTGAAGCCCTATATCTCCAATTCTAATAGAGTTAAGACTCTAATATTTTGGATTCATCACTTACAATACTTTCTTAACTTAAATACCAAATTTTAACAAAATCTGAGATGGTCGGGTTGTAAAGTGATCGATTTGATATGGAATGACCCCACTGCTGTCCAACAGTTCATCTATTCTCAACATTTTCTTTCCAATGGTTTCAAACTTTTCTTTACAAATTTTAAAGAAATAGTATTGAGTTTAGAAATCTGATGAATGGATTTTAACCAGGCTTATCCCCCCAATATTTTATTTTTAACTCCCCCTTCCAGCCATAATTTTTTTTTAAATTCATTTACCCACATTCTATAATTTGTTTAACCCACCAGCCCAATTTTTAAAAATTATTTTATTGTTTGGTGGCTCTTTATTTATTTTATTTCTCTTTTCTTAAACTTGTAAAATATGCAATGTTATGAAATAAAAAAATGATTTTTAATAAATAGAAAGGCAGTTCTATTATTCATTTCATTCTAAAAATTTGTCTAATTCACCTCACCCTTTCTCTGTTTTAACAATATGTTATATCCCACTCTAACTTGAGTAGCTGATACTTTGCCAATTCTAAGTTATCATCAATTAACTAAAATATTTCTAATATTCTCTGATCTTTATAATAGATTTTGTTTATACCTTTAAAGAAAACTTTCTATATAATATTATACGTAAATAATTTATGGATTTAATTTATTCCTAGGCATTAATAAGCGTTTTTAAAATTTAAATATAAAAAGGAACATAAAGATATTTTAAAAATGTTGTAAAATAGTAATAAACATAAAATGGTGTTGGATTAATAACAATCTTTAAAACAATTCAGCTATGAATTTGAATTTTAGCAATATACTATTAATAACTTTCACATTATTTTATAAGCATAAAATCATGAGGTTCGAATCTCACAGGCATTTTTAGCGGTTCAGCTCAGGTTTGGATAAATCTTAAAAGTTCAGGTTCGATAAAAAAATACCTGTTTAAAGGTTAGGTTTGGATCCTTGCATATAATTTTCAAAGATGTGGTATACTCGTTGATTCGAAAGCAGGGCATCCACTCCATTGTCTCATGAACTGATATAAATATATATATGGCACTAGAAAATAAATAAAATTACCCAAAATTCATTTCTCAAAGCAGCTGTTCCTTCACATCTCGAACCTCGAGGTACTTCCGTTATTAATAATTCACGGCCTGATGGACATATGGGGAAACACATTAATTGGGATTATGTTTAAAGCATTTTGTCTATTTAATATTTATTGTGATCCATTAGTTATAGTGGGAAAAAGAAATATTGAAGATATTCACACATAACCGACAGTGTAATATTCAAATGTTCATTTGGGACGAAAACTAAATCCCTAATCAAACTAATCAGCCAAAAGAACCCTAAAACAACCATTTTAAGAGCACTTTTGAGATCAAACAAAAAATAAGCTTGGAGATTTTTCGTTATAATTTTAAATTATTTGAAGATATCTGGCCGCCACTACAGTAGGATGATTATTTTTAACTTTTTTAAAGTTTTAATTTTAAAAACAGTTTAAGATTCAGGTGTAACTCTAATGAAACCAATTGAAGATTTTTTAATTAACTTGGAGTTTTTTATTTTTTTAAACCCTGTCTGTAAAAAGGGATTTGAGTAACTCATCCTCAACTATAATGGAACCAATTGAGGAGTAATATTCTGATTCATTTGATTGCTATAAACTAGGCTTAAACGAGTACAAATCGAATATTCCTATTAGTATGAATAATAAAATTTGCTATTTATATTCTATTCGAATTATTTGTTTTTTAAAAATATATAATAATTCATACGAATATAGAATTTTTTAAAATATTTTTATTGCATCTAATTTTTAATAGAAAAATAATTATAAAATCGAATGAAAAACTATCGATCAAGTTATTAACGGAATTAAAATGCATATTAATTTGTCATGCCAAGCCAATTTTTAAGGCAAAAAGCGTTTCATATTTCTTCTTTATAATATAGTGGTAAGCTATTCACCATGGGCTTATTCTTGTTTTTGCTAACAAATTATTTGTCACATTTTATGAAAGCTTTAAATTTTGTGCCAACAATGCATTAGTGGTAAGAAATGGGGTAACTAATGTGAAAATATTTTAAGATTCTGGAAATATTAGAAAAATATGGTCTATAAAAATAATTTATGGCAGATCCAATAATTATTTTAGAAACATGAACCTCGGGATATAATTTGGTAAAATTAACAAAAATATTTTATTAATTTAATAATATTATATTAAATATGGCTCTTAAAAAAACCTGAATACAAATTTGAAATTTTAAGTTTCCTTAAATTTTATAATATTTTCAATCTTAAAAACAATTGAGATTGATGATGTTAAATATTTTTATTAAATTTAAAAAAAGTATATATCAAAAGTATAAGGCAGTAATTACTGTTGAGGACGTGTAGCAATAAGTAAGAATTATTTTTCTTGCTAGTTTGTCATAATTCTCACTATAACACTGAATATTTGACACCACTGCTGACCATTAAGTCCTCAAGGGTTCTTCTATAATTTGCCTTATTTATTTTTACAAGCTACTATAATTTGTCTTATTTATTTTTACAAGCCAATTTATATGGGTATCTTTTTTTATTGCCCTTTTATTATTATCCACTATATTCAAATTGTTTTTTTAAATTATATAACGAGCTACAATTGCAGGTTTGATTCCAACTATTGCATTTTTTTTACAAAATATGACATAACGATTATATTAGATATATTAAAAATTCCTTACCTACCATAGCCCCATAGGTAAAGAATAATAAACTTTGTTTTAATGGGCATTTGCTGATCACCTATATTTTTATTTAAAAATAGCGGCCTGAAGTATATGACATGCCATAGACCTGATGTGAGCTAGTGATTATGACCTATTTTGATTAAAATAAATTAAAAAATCAAATGATCTCTTATTTAGATCATCTAAAAGTTTATTTTTTAAATCCGTTTTATTTTTATCATCAAAACTTTTTTTATAAAATTTATATTTATCATGAAAGTTTATTCAACTCTTTTTTTAAAAAATGTAAATTTTATTCATTCATTTTTTCAATAAATGAAATAACCTTGGTTTTTTTTCTCAAAAATATAAATTATATGTTAATATTGCGAAAAATTGAACGTTTCAACGCAGCGTTTCAAAACGCAAATATAGAAACGTAAATGCAGCTATGTTTAAATTGAAGCGTTAATTAATTTTTTTAATATGAAACGTCTAAATTTAAAACAAAACAAAAAATGCTGTCCAATTTAAACGAATGCATTATTTGTGTGAAACCCTGCGTTGAAACGTTCAATATGTGCGCACTATAATACAGTTATCCACAATTTTGATTTTATAATATATATAATGAAACCTCTAAAGTTGGTCACTCCCATCTTAACCCCCTTAGGTTGACCAAAAACTTCTCTTGTATGGGTAACATATGAAGGCTTCACTGTTTTGTGTCGTTACTAGGAAAAAGTAAACGAGTCATTACTAGTATCTCTTAATCGATAAATTTGGCTTAATCTAAAGGCGCGTGCCGGAAAAACGTGTTTATTTTATTCTTCATCTTCCTAAGTCTTGTTTATCTTTTTAGCAAAAACTTATCAAGGTTAAAGTTTGCAACTAAAATCTCGGTTTGGCCATTTTTGAAGTCGACTCCTAATCATATGCTCCAGCACCCTCTCTTAATCAATTCATCCCCAACCCATAATTAATGATTATTTCCTATAACAATTTATTTAAACTTCTAAATTTTTTTCATATCTCCTTATCATAGCTCAATTTAGTGCCATCCCATTAAACCTGATCAAAAAGGATCCTAATTTCGGGGGTACCTTTGTTCCTCCTGATTATTTTATTACTGGGCAATGGTCGGCTAAAGCTGCCAAAGAGGTTAAATCATTATTGGGCCTTAACAGCGTGAATTTGATAACTCCTATAGATAACGCTGGCTTGCAGCAAATTTTAACTTCAACACCTCCATCATACGACAATAATAAAATCACTGTTTTTAACGATAAATATAACGTTGATTCCCTGTTAGAACGATATTTGATTAATAGAATTAACCCCGAATCACCTTATTTCTACTATTGTTCTAACGAAACTATAGAGGGATTCGAGATAAATGACCAGCATACAGTGCGCAATGCTACTATGGATGAATCTGGCAACTTTTTGGATATTTTAGAAAGAGCTTATAAACGGAAATCGGACTTATTAAACTCACAAAATTTGAATAAAGAGGACAAAGGTGAGGGATATTCTTATAAAAAACCCGTTATTGTGTGCGATATGTCATCCAATTTATGCACAAAAAAGATTGATTTGACCCGGTTCGGTCTAATATACGCAGGTTTAAAAATTAACACTTTTCGTTATTTTTTTATGTTCATAAGTTGAGCTTATAAAGTGGATTAGAACTAGAGCCTTGCTCTGACATGTCCGGCCACGCCCACTATAATTTTTTGTTAATTACTCTTCTCCAGGGATCGAAACCGAAACGAATATCGGTTTGGTTCAGGTTCGGATAAAAATAACGGTTCAAGGTTCAGGTTCGGTTCGCAAAAAATAAAAATATCGGTTCGGTTCGAACCTCTAAAAACCGGTTTGAACACATTTGTATTCAAACCTACATTAGGATTATGTATCAGGAAAAAAATTTTTTTATTTCATAATTAAAATAAAAACCTTCATTTTTATTAATTGCACAAATATAACAAATAAATATATCAATGATTAATTTAAATATGAACAATTACTTAGATTTTTTTACTAAGCTGCACAATTAATATATTTTCAAAATTCGTCTCGCTCAAATTACATCTATAAGGAGATAATATAAATTTAATTGTTGAAAAACATCCTTCCACACTAACTTGGGTAGCTGGCATTGCCAGTATGATATCAGATTTGATGTGTCATTTATAATACTATATGTAAATAATTTATATATTAGATTAAATTTTTTTCTAGGCATTATAATTTATAGGCTTAAAATATTGCAAAATGGCAATATATTAAAGTTTATAAAAATTATGACTGACGTTTATCAATCAAATGTGATTGATAATAATTTTTAAAACAATTTGAATATATAAAATTTTTGCAATATACTACTAGTAATAACTTACACATTATTTTATAAGCATAAAATTATGAGACTCGAACCGGTTCAGAGGCATTTTAGCGGTTCGGTTCAGGTTCGGCTAGGAATTTTTTAGAGGTTTAGGTTCGGTTTAGGTTCGATAAAAAATACAGGACCGCGGTTCGGTTCAGGTTCGGTTTGGATCCCTGCTCTTCTCATTCCTTCATACATTTTGACAAATTTAAAATGATAGTCATGACTATAAATACCGAAACCTAAATCTATTTTCAGGGATTTACAAATACTTTTCCTTTGTCAAATTTAGCTTTATTATCAAATATTTTTGATTAATCCTTGTGCTTTAATGTTGAGAAATAAACACGGGCGTAATTCACCTTATTTTAAATCTGTTATTAATTATAAATATAAAATTTCGACGATTTAATATTATTAAAATTTAATGATAATTTTTTTTTGTGTCGAAAATAAAGGGAAATTGCCTTAAATACTATATTTAATATTTATTTTCACTACTTAAACGTCTCGATTTGCGCCGATTTTTAAAAACGACTAACTCAATATTTTAACCATAAATATTGCCTAAACTTCGACATCGCTAATTGATGACCAGTGCCATCTATTATAAAAATCTTCAGGTTCGCGTAATATTTTACTGGATAAAATATTGAGTTAGCAGTTTTAAAAAATAGCTCAAATAGAGCCGTTAAATAACACTAATCTTCACCATAATTTTTTTTTTAAACATGGAATAATCAAAGATTGTATTTAATTAATATTTAAATAATAAAAATCAACTTGTTTTCAAATAATAAATGCACTTTACATTATACCACACAAGTGGTTGTAATTTTTTCCTATTCATTTTCGATATTTGTATTGTGAATTAGCAGTATTCGGGGGTTCCAAAAATATATATATCTTTTGGCGCATAAATTTTATTTTTTTTAAGCTTGACATAACAATACTATTTATTGCCTTTAGTGAATCTCATTTAATGTGTAATATAAAATTAGAAAAACTTAAATTTTAACTGTTTATTATAATTACTAGTAGATAGCCCGTCAAAAATGACGTGAAATGAAAATTTTCTTCTTACTTTTATGCATGTTACCTGTTATTTGAAAATAATATCCAATTTTTATTCTTCTTACCCCCTCATCCCTTCAGGCCAGGTTTAATCCATTAAAACTAAGTGCTATGGTTTGAGTAAAAATAAATTTAAAGCATTTACTTGATATTACCAATATTATTTGTTTAATATTACTGATTACTTATACCTAATATTTATTATTAAAAAAAATTCCCAGGCAAAGTCCAAAGCCATATTAATTATAAAAAGTTCTTCCAAGCCCAATGAAAGATCATAATAATTTTGGTAGTTAAGAACTGAAATAAAATATTTAAATAATCATAATGAATTTAAAAATACAATCAAAATTTAGATTTTCGTGGGCCTTGGTTTTTTGATCAGGTCAAGCTCAGGCCTGCAAATAAATTTGTTTTGGGCCAATGTTTGACCTATAATTAATAATAAAAAAAATTCTCAAGCGTCCAAGCTCATAATAATTTTGCAAAATTTTCCCCAAGCCCAGCCCAATATAATTTATAAAAATATTTTCCAAGCCCAGCCCAACCTATAATAATTTTATAAAAAAAATTTCTCAAACCTGGCCAACCGATAGTAATTTAAATTTTTTTTCCAAGTCTGGAGATAGGTAAATCTCTAAAAACCATATCTATTTTTTAGTCTATTTTAACCCAGCTCACCCCAACCAAGGCCAACCCATTAAGACTAAGAGTGAATACTATTTTTTTGAATAAAAATATATTTAAATTAAATTTTACCTGAGGGCCATATAAATATTCTGTGTTAAATATTACACCTATGCCTAATATTAAAAAAATTTCCAAGCCAGGTCCTCGCACTTGGTTTTCTCAAACTTGCAAAAGACCATAATAATTTTGATAGTTGAGGACTGAAATAATATATAAAAAGTCACAATGCATTTAAAAATACAATCAGAATATGAAAGTTGCATGGGCCTTGGTTGATCAGGCCTGCCATGTCTGCAAAAAAATTTCAGACCAGTCTATAACCCATATTTAAAATTTAATAATCTTAAAGCACTTCTATTTTAAATTATATCCAATATGATTTCCATTAGATTTTTAAATCTTGATATTTCTAATACATGCTCACAGTATACATTGCAACAATTTTACCTCTTTTACTCTTAAATTTTAATATTTATATAAAATTTATTAATAAAGTATATTTAATACCATACACACAAACTAAATAATTACCCTTCAACCCATGGTTTTTTGATCAGGCCTGGCTATGTCTGCAACAAAAATTTTCAGACCAATCTATAACCCATATTTAAAATTCAAAAATCTTAAAGCACCTCTATTTTAAATTTTATTCAATATGATTTCCATCAAATTTTTAAATTTTGATATTTCTAATACATATAACAATTTTACCTCTTTTACTCTTAAATTTTAATATTTATATAAAATTTATTAATAAAGTATATTTAATACCATACACACAAACTAAATAAATACCCTTCAACATCTATATAATTAATATTTTAAATTTAATTATGTTCAAATTGGTGCATGCGTGAAACTTTAATATATATATAATTAATATTTTACATTTATTTATATTCAAGTTGGTGCATACGGTAAAGCATATGCCTTTAAAACGGGAGGCTCTAGTTCGATCCTTGTAGAGGGCAAAAAATTAACATTACACTATATAGTCTCCTTAAATTTAAAATACATTGGGGAGATACGAAAACGATCGTCTTTTGATTATGGAGATAAAATTAACATTACACTATATAGTTTCCTTAAATTTAAAATACATTAGGGAGATACGAAAACGATCGTGTTATGTTTATGGAGATTATATATATTAGATAGTATTCTATATAAAAAAGTTTTTAAATTTCAATGTTTAATCTTCATTAACAAATTAATATACTGTGAATTTTATTCGAAATCAAACTGAATTCCCTGAAAATGTTTCAAGCTGACTGTTACTACGAGAACAGATCAGATACAGGGTTCTTGTTGGAATTATTTACTTATTAAAAGTTAATTTTAAGTTAAATGTAAAAAAACCGAAGATTCAAGTTGATTAAATCTTCGGCCCAATTTTTTTTTATTGGCAATATATTTTATTAATATTAAAATCTATTATTATCAGGTGCTCAAAAGAACATAGGTATCGCTGGTATTACGGTGGTTATAATTAGGAAAGATTTAATCAATAGTCAATCTCCATATTTTCCAGTTCCCAGTGTGATGAATTACGCGGTTGTCTCTAAGGCCGATAGTCTGCCTAACACTCCCCCTGTTTACAGTATATACGCATTAGCCCTTACTTTAGAATGGATTTTGGACCAAGAAAATAAGGATTTTAGATGTAAACACCAAAATAAAATCCAGAATGGGCATTCAGTCACCAACGGAAATCCCGATGATTGCAGCTGTTATGAGATTATGAACGAAAAGGAAAACATGAGTGGGTTAGTCTTTCATATTTTAAAAATTCACTCTTGATTTCAATAAATAATTAATTATATTATTGGGCGGTTACTACTAGACCTATATTCGTATTATTCGATTTTTTCTTTTTCAAATTTGAATATTCGTTTTAAGTTTTTTATAAAACGAATAATTCTTTCTAAACCTGAATCGTTTTTTCATTTGGCTTGAACCCGAATATAAAAAACGGGTTAGGGACAAATAGATTAAAAAGTTTGGTGCCTTAACTTAACCTAGTGCTACAACTTGCTATAAAAGATGAGGAATTAACAAATAAATGCCAGACTTATTAATAAAAATATAAAAAAAACTATTCTTGTATGGTCATAGATGGAGTTTTACCTATAACATGCTCGAAAGTGCTCCACTAAAAGTTGTTAAAGTTTAACAAATTCGGATGATGATTATTATTTAACAATGGTTAAGTTGGAGTTGAAGTAAAATTAATATTGTGTTAAAGGCTTGAAGAGATATCAAGCAAGGTGGGTCATAACATCGATTTTTGGTACCTTGTTAAAATGTCTCTTAGCGATTTAAACTATCAACATTAATTTTGCCATACAACCAGATGAAAAAAGAGGACGTGATTATCTTTGACAGAATATATTTCTTTCTGCCCCGTATTTGACTGTTATATTCCAAATTCTAATATCGTAGGAAGAGGCTTTTGACGAAATGCCATTTAATTAATTTTTGGATGAGAATGCAGAGATTTTGATATTATTAAATATTGCAGATGAGATTGAAATTAGAAATGACTTGAATTCATCTTCTAATGATGAATTGGAAAGGTGTTGTTAGGCAGAAAGAAATGAGAAGAAAAGATAGCCATTATACCGGTCAACAAAACGGCGAAAAAACCTTAGAGCTTACTAACTTGTTTTTTAGGTCAAATTATTTATTTTTCTTATTTAAAGACATATTCATTAATATATAAAAAAATTATATGTTCTTACAGGGTTTCCCATTCAAAAAAAGGAAACTTGTCAATTATAAAAGTAAAAGATTCAGTCAAAAGGGGAAAGTGTCAATCAAAAAAGAAAAAGTCCCAAAGGCCTAGAAATCCGATAAAAAAAAAGTGTCAAACAAAAAAGGGGTTCAATCAAAAAGGGAAAAGTGTCAATCAAAAAGGAAATTTCCCATTCAATAAAGTAAAATCGTTATTTATTAAAAAAAAAAAAATTCTTGTCAATTTTTTCTTAGATTTTTATTTATTTTTACTATTTCTTCTTATTTTATATTTTTAATTCTTATTTTTTATATCTTTTCTCAAATTATTTTTCTTATTTTTGATAATTTTTTTGTAATTTTAAAAATAATTTATTAATTTTCCTTGTTATTTTTCTTTACTTTTATACTCCATTTTTTAACAATTCTTTCCTCTTTTTTCATCCTACATAACAATATTTTGACTTTTGATGATTTTTTTCTCCTTATATTGTTCTTTTACATATTTTTAACTTTTTAAATCTCTTTAAGTCGTTTTTAATCTTTATTTTTCTGATCCTTTCTCAATTTTTTTTTCTTCTCATTTTGATCATTCTTTTTTGTAATCATTTTTAATTTTCACTTAATTTTTATTTCTTATTGCCAGACAATTTTTTATTAGAATTTTTTGCATATAAAATTATTTAATTATAATTGCTGAATTAAATTAATTGTTTAAATAAATAAGTTTGAGCTATAATACCAAACGATATGTAAATTAATAAAATATAATCATATTTAAATTTTTAATATTTATGCAAGAAGCATTCAATACTTTTGAGCAAGTAAATAATTTTTTTGTAATTATTTTTAATACTAGTCTTTCATTTACATAAGGAGAAAAAATCATAAAAAGTTAAAATATTGAAGAGGAAAGAATTGTTAAAAAATGAAATAAAAAATAGAAGAAGTGAAGAAAAATAACAGGAAAAATATATAAATTATTTTTAAAATGACAAAAATGGAATCAAAATTGAAAAAAGATAATAAGAAAAATAAATATTAATAATGACTTAAAGAAATCGCAAAAATTTGGAAATAAAATAAGAAGGAAATAATAAAAATTTAAGGAATATTGACAAGAAAATAAAAACTTTTCCATTTATGATCGGTCCTTTTCCTTTCATGATTGAAACTTTTCCTATTTTGAATAGGAAACCCTGTATTTGGTATGTTGGATCATGATAGAATACACCAGAACAATATATACTTAAATATTGGAAAGGAATGAATAACACCTAATCTGAAATTTAAAACTTTTACAGATAGTCTTAGCAGTTCCAGCCACACAACTCAGTATGGGATCCTTTTTTATTGAAATTATATTATAATCGTATAATAGCGAATGAATAACAAAGAAATATTGAAAAATTGATAAACTTTTTGAAAGTATATAACAACACAATTTTTTTATATTACTATAGAATATTATATGTGAATATGTGTTAAAAGATATTTATATATTTTATAAATTTTATCAAAGATAAAAAGAAATTTAAGTTCAAATATGATATCTATTTTTTTTGTTGATTTTTAGAAATATTTGAGCTAAATCAGGTCCCCTAACCATTTTTTAATGAACCCGAACCAAACCTTTTTAAGTATTTAGTATCAACTCGAACATGAACCCGGCTAAAATTAAATAAAATTTATACATATCCTTGCTCATATTATTTTTCTGTAATATCTTTTTTATTATCGCATATTACATAATTCTTATTTTATAAAACGAATTGAATATTAAATATTTGATTTTAAGAGGTCTGGCAATTATGATTACTGGTAATTTTAAATAAAATGAATAGGATCAGTTTTGCAAATTGGATAGAGCCGATAAATTTTTTTTGTTAAACTTAATCAATTTAAAATTTATTTGAAGGTCCGGGCCGACAAAATATATCCAATCTGATAGTAAAATAAACTTAATTCGATCTTATCCTGTTTAATCCACGGATTTTTCATGAACTGATTTATACTCCTTACAGTTACAGGGATGCGCTAATTTATTTATTTTTAAATAAATTTTCGGATATAATAGACCACGCAAATTATACGATTTATTAAATTTAAAAATAAAAACATTTTCCCCTTTACTCTTCAGAAGCACATATTGGCAACTTGTGTCTCACATGAAAAGCTTTCGAATTTACCAAGTAATTGACTCTACGCAAGGATTCTACAGCCTTTTATGTCCAGAATTAAATAAATCAAACAAAGATGATCAACTAGATTTTTCCCATTTTCGTAGTAGAATCAATATATCGTTCGCCATAAATGGGCAGGCTCAATGGCAAAATGAGTTTTTAAACCGGACTGCCAAGGAGGAAAATATGCTCTACTTGAAAGGACACCGATCCGTAGGTGGTGTTAGAGTATCGCTCTTCAATTCTATAACCATAGAAGAAACTAATAGACTAGTTGATTTTATGAATAAATTTTGGGCGGAAAAGAAAAATGAATACCTCGCTATCATATCTAAAGGAAACGACTGATTTGTATATGGGATATTTAAACCAATATTATTATGCACAATATAAGATATCTCTTGGAACAGCAGTATATTATTGATTATAATACGGTACTTAAATGTTTATTTTTATGCCTTATTTTATTAAATTTTAAACAAATGATTTTTTATAAAGAAAAATTTTAAAGATTTGAATTGAATCAATTATTTGTCGATAAAGTCTTATTTAGTCATTAATGATTTTGTCTAGATTTAGGGTATATTTGGTGTGGTTTTATTTTTAATTTTTTTTTTTAAAAAAAGCATTAAATTGAATTATATTTTTTATAATATTTATATCCACACATACATCCACCTGAAAAAATCGATTTTATATCATACATTATACGATCCATTTTATAAATTTATATTTCAAATGATAATTTTTTTATATTCATTTCTTTAAAATGGCTGAATATAGTATTTTTAAAATTTATTGTGATTTATCTGCTGCTGGGCAAAATACTATCGCGCGAATTCTTCCTCAATCGCATCTCTCGAATGCAATTTTTTACCTTCAAGAATATAGAATAATATTCATTAATTAAAAAAATTTGGCTGATTATTTAAATTTTGTAGGTTATTTATTAGAAGGTATGGATGGTTTAGGATTAATCTGTTAGTTGATAGTTAGGGATATTAATTAAAAATTTCAAGTCATTTATTTTACATCACATTTAATAACAATTAATGGGATATAGCTATTTGAAAATCAAAAATTTATCATTATATACGAAATTTGGCAAATCACTTGATCATATATATTTCTCCATTGTAGACGCCCATAATGCCCTATCAAGTAAATATATCCTCTCCCTGGGAAAAAATACAAATCATGTGTCTAATTTTATCGTTTAAATATCAGGTTTTTAATGATGATAACGATGCATCTTTCCAGTCATTAGAACCTCATTCAGTTAATGTGACCAACTTACAAATAATTTTAAAAGTTATAGTATTTTGTACTAAGCAAATATTTTGTATGATATTTACCAGCGCACTGAATGTTTTATAAACAAAACTTTTTTGAGGGTCTTAAACTCTCCCCGAAATATTTTATTTATTGTTTTTCTTATTAAGTTGAAGTCAAATCTTTAAAAAAAAATTAAACTGAATTAACGTATTATTATCAAGCAAAATAATGCCTGACTAAAAGTGTTCAGTTTGCAGTTATTAAATTTTATTTTACGCGAAAAAGGAAATGCCCTTCGATATAACTAAAAATTAAATTATAACAAGTACGCTGGCGGGCATTTCTTTTTGAAAAATTGGCATTTAACCTGTTTAAAATGATAATTTAGGAACATGTAGACTTCGATAAATAAGTTGTAGCAAGTGACTATTTTTGCTAATACTCGTCCCAATATTTGCTTTTAATTGCCTACAACCCATTTTCAAAATATGGAAAATTTCGTTGAGGGAGTAGATTACTTTATGAAGCTCTTTTCTGTAGGTTCGGTCTTTCTATGAAAATTAAAACATAGCCTTGCATAATATTATTCTTACTAATATATTTATAAGAGCGATACATGACTTTGAATTAGATTGGCACCGATTCTCAGAGATTTCAGAATTCAGACGGGAAAAAAATCAAATGAGAGGACATATTATAGGAAAAATTTATAATTGACAATGAATGTGTAGGACTTAGCTTATTGTTTGAGGTTGGTTTGCACCTTGAAAACTTTAAATCACTCATGACCATTAGCTGTACGAATAATTTATGTAAAATAAAATATTATTTTAGAAGTTATGAAGGTATTATAAAATGTAGTTGTTCTTTAACCCTGGTCTCCCTTATTAAACTATTATATTTACCACAAAACGGCAACTCATTTTAATGAAATTATACCGGTTCTGTTTTCTCGTTTTATCGGTTTCAAAGTTCTTAGTAGAATTTTTTTTTAAATATTTTTCTTTTAAAATCTGGTTATTTTATAAGAGAATGGTTTTCATGTTTGGTATGATGATAAATGAAGCTTCGATATGGTATATATGAAAGTTTTGGCTATACCTTTTATTATCTGCTCCTTGGCATTTCTACCTCCTTACCACAAGAAAATTATCAAATAATTATGTTATGAAGCTATAAGATTTTGTATGGTTTAATTTTTTTATAACTCCTCACTTCAAAAAATACATATTTTAGAATTTTAAAATATAGCACTTGGAAATTATGTATTTTTCTAAAATTTGCCTGGTTTGTATTTAAATTATTAAATTTTAGACGGTGCCAGCCATATAAATTAGATATCACTCTTGATCATTTTTATTAAAAAATTTATTATAGATCATTACAAAGTTGTCCTTTTATTACTTAAATATTCGTTTTATCGTTACTCAGTCATAGTAGAATAAAATTTTAGTTTAACTAAAATGTTAATATTTAAAAGAGATTAACAAATACAAATAGCTCGGATTCGCAAGACCTTTTCCCATTACAGGGTCTATTGTTTGGCTGATGCCTTAAAATTTATTTGTTACAATTACGATTTATGCATAAAATTAAATTTAAACACAGAATTTGGTAATCCAAGTATTTTTATCTCATTGTAGACACATAATTTTCGGGTTACCCTTGATTTTCAAAATTTATTTTATATATAAACCACAGTGTTAAACGATCCCTTTTGAAAAGATTGAATCAAAATAAGATCAGAATTGAGATTTTTACAATTACATAGCCAATAGATAAAATATTATATTTTTTTAATGAGCCATTTTTGTTGCCCTAAAAATTTTGGAGCATACGTTTTAAAAAAATATTTATTTCTAATATTTTATTTATTTTTACGTTTAAGTAAAGGAAAAATTAAAAGGATTAGCATTGATTAATATATAAGTATCTATCAAGATTCTCATTATTAAGGTACCGACTACAGGCTTTTGCCAAAATTGGAATCAATCCTGAGATCGTGATCTTAACTATCCATAACCGATATCCAGCTTTATGAAAGCTAATAAAAAGTGAGGAATGAATTTACTAATAAAAATATGGGAATTTTTGACATAACAGAAAAAAGAATTATTATTAAGGAAATTTTAAGAGATTGTTGAAAAATAAGTAACAATTTAAAAAATTTTTCAATCTAACATTTATATTAAAAAGTTGCACCATATTTATTAGAAATTATTACAATTAAAAGTTCTTTAATGTAATACAACTTCTGTATTGTATAGTTAAAAATACAAATTTGATGTTTTGCTAAATGTGTAATACCTGAGTTAAATCATTTCTACTTTTTTCCCAAAAGCGTTTATTACTTTATATAAATCAATATTGGACCCCATGGTTAATCTTGAATATCGTTAAACTTATTGATATTTCGAAAGATCCCAAGATTGTTCTCTACTCTTGCTAGTATTCTATGGCACCTATTTTTTTAGTCATGGTTTTTTAATAAATTCATTTTCGGGATTTTATGCTTGGAACGTTTTATCCCAAATAATTTAGTTTTTTTAGCTTCTGCACTTGTCATATTGCATGGATGGCGCGTTGCCGTATTGATATTGGAAAATCTTATAATGCTTGGATTATATTTGTTATTGATACAACACGTTCTCACGTGATGTGCGACGGGATTTGACTCTTTCGATACAAGATCGTCTATTGTGAGATCCTCAGCATCATTTAACGGGAAATTTGATTCAACTATCATATGTGACGAACTGTTATTATCGGAAGTCGTATATCGAGATTCGGTAGTATCATCAGTTGTATCCATTTTGCATTTATAAGGGTGGAGTACATTATATGACGGCATCACTTCAAATTTTCTCTTAGGGACACAAATATCAATACTATCTCCTATAAATGTGTTTATATCTTCTGGCTCTGAAAAAACGGATCGATTTGTTAGTCCATTTTGATGTTTATTGACTGGACAACTTAATTTTAAATTGTTACTAGGATTTCCTTCAAAAATCGGATTATCAAGTATTCGAAATCTTAACGAACGGTGGATTTGATCTTGAGCAGTGTTAGAGTGGCTCGTTATTTGTGACAAAGGAGTTAGGGAAAATACAAATATTTCTGATTGGGATAATCTTTTTGAGCTGACAAAATTTTTATCGGGCTTATCAAATTTATGTAAATCAAGGCTCGGTCGATTCATATTAGCAACAAAATTTGTTGGTGAGGATGATAATATGAATTTGTCATCATTCTTTTTGTCAAACCAGTTTTTATTATTAAATAAGTTATTTAATGAAGAATGAATAGAGCGTTCGTTATAAAATGTAAACTTTTTATTTAAATTTGTTGAGGAATTTGGATCTACACCTGAATCTTCTTTCCCGTTACGTTGCTTTATGTTCAAATTTATATCGTGTAAAGATTTCATGATTTCGTTAAGCTCTTTATATAATTGGTTAGCCATTTTGAGCTTTATCCTGTACTCTTCTTCTAAATCTGTATTATATATTATAAAGAGATCTAATAAAATATCTTAGTTTTTTATTCATTATACCTTTTTTGCTTGTTTTGTTTAATGTATTTTTACAAGAACTAAATAGTGGAGGTTTAATGAAAATATTAGGGTAGTTACAATCATTGTTTTCGTCGATGAATTTTATTTCATCCATGTAGTTCCTTGTGTTTGTCTGAGATAATAAGCTTAATCCTTCATTATCACAATTATTATGTTTAATCTCAGCACTTGATGACTTATTATGTTTAATCTCAGCACTTGATGACGATAATAATTTGTTCCAAAACGTATTTTCTTCGTAGTTACATTTTCTTCTATTATTGAGCATGGCATGTGATTTTAGGGTTCGATGCCCTGGTAGTAAACTGGTTTTATATCTGATATTCATCCAATCTGTGTCTTTATCACCATTTGTGTTGATATGCGTGAAAATGATAGATTTTTCGGGCATCGAGGGTTTACTATTCGTCGTATTATATGGTTGATTTAACATGACAAACGGTTTAAATTTAGATTTGTTAAGATATTCATTTTCTAAACTTGAATTGATAACCTCTTCTTTCCAGCATTTCTAAAATGATAAATCAAATAGTTTTTAAAACTTAATATTAAGGAACTTGTAAATTTAGATATTCTGTGGAATTCATGCGATTAATTTCATTAGCAGCAATATCTATATGCATTAGGATCTGTTTAAAGGATGGTCTATTTCTAGGCAAATTATTCCAACATTGAATCAAAAGTAGCTTAATCCCTGGAAAGCATGTCGTGGGTATAGGTAATGAGAGAGTTCCATTACCTACTCCCCAAATGATAGCGGAGGTGTCTAAGTTTCTATAAGGAATCTCTAATGTCAGAAGTTCCCATATCACTATTCCATAGGACCTATTAATATATTCAAAAATAATTGTTAGAAATGAATACTCTTGAAAAATTATATAACTTATTTTATAAATCCAAATTAATATATATATACCAAACATCCACTTTTTCTGAACAAGCTTGATTTCGAATAATTTCCGGTGCCATCCAAGCAGCAGTGCCAGTAAAAGACATTTTAACGCTATTGATTTTGTCAAAATGTTTGGAGTCTTCGAAATCTGAAATTTTCAAGATTTCGTCGTGTGAAACTAATATACTGTGGAAAATAAATTATTAAAAACATTTGGAAAATGTATGTTAAACTTTGGAGATTTAAGATCTCTATGGACAATCCCATTCTCGTGTAAATAATTCATCCCAGAAGCTATTTGTTGAATCCATTTAATAAATTTTGTGTTTGAAACATTTTCACTTTCCCTCAAAAACTGAAATAACTGCCCGTGCGGGCAATATTCCATTATAAGACAGTAGTTGGAGGACCACCAACAAGAACCACTAATTGAATATTTTTTAATTGACATTACTTTAATTAATATCCATAATATTAAGCCGCTTATATAAAAAGTTTTTTTTTTGTCTATAGTGACATTTTTCAGAAACATAGTCAGTAGTCACATTTTATGAGAAACATAGTGTTTTCTTTTTGAAAAACATTTGTTTAGTGTCTTAATTATTTTGAAGAGTTTTTTAAAACGATAAATTTTATGAAATGTAATAAATCATTATTTGACCACTTTTATTCTTTAAAGATAGTAAAGAATAAAAAAAATTAAAATAGAAGAAACGACAAAATATTTTATCCAAATTAATGATAAAATAATAGTAGAAATTTACAAAATAATATTATATAGGCTCTAATCTCAAAAAGATCTAAATTATCTCAATATATTGAAATTCATAAAAACATTTAAATAATATATATTTTTATTGCCAAAAAATAACAATTGCTTAAAGTGGTCACTTTTGACAGGTAGTGACCTTAATTACAGGGACGAGAACCCTCCTTCTAAAAAAATGGTCGGGTTTGGTTGGTTCAGGTGGGTTCAGGGTTCGGAGACCAGAAAAATAATGACTTATTAAACATCATTTTTTTTTAAAAAATTTATTTTAATTAGTATCACCATAAAAATAATTTATCATCATAATTATAATATATTACAATACAATTTAAAAATTTACTAAATATAACAAAAATAATTACACGAAAAAATGATCAAAAAATGTTTTTTTTAAATTAAAAATTCAATTTTTTATTAAAATTCATATACAAATATGATAAAATCTTATTATTCAAAAATTAACATTATAATATAAAGAATATAATAAAATATAAGTTAAAAAAAAGATTGATACAAATGTATATTTTCATAAAAAGAAAAAACATTTTAAAAAAAAATATCAAGTGGCGAGGTCTTGGCCATGATGTTTTAAATATTTGATAATTAGATCTAATTATAGATACGGCAATTTTCTGCTTGAGTTTATAAAATGGAGAAAGGTATAATTTTTTTATTGATTTGGATATTATTTCGAAGAGATCTAATGCCGCTTGTCCAAAAGAGCAGGTTGATGTAGCTGCTATGGGAACAAAGTGGTTGTCAAGGTGTGAGTATTTTATATTATTTAGAGATTCGGCTTTGTTAAGGGGATCATGCGAATTATTAGATTGGGCCATGGGATCAATGCAGTTAAACTCCCACATTAAAGGCTTTCCCATTAAAAAAAGTACGATTGTTTTGCCGTCAGTGCGTTTTTTATCTAAAAGATGTCGGTTCTAAAATACAGGGAAAATTGGCTTTATTTAAAAAAGAAGCTATTATTGTATTTATTTTATCATGTCGGCTGATTTTTGATATAAATTTACAGTGGAGAGCGTGTCTATCATACGCGTCTGCCGATTGATTGCATTTAATGCAAATATAATGGTCTAGGAAAGGTACGCCCAAGCGTAAATTGATTGCATAACAAAAAAAGTCGTTATCTATTAGCTAGTTATTTAAAATGCAGGGATATGAATCTAACCATTCATGGCCAGAGTTGTTGAAATTAAGTGATCTTAGAGGGATTTATATTGATGATCATCACTCAAGTTGAGATAAGCTAAGGAACGAGATACCAATCCTTGATCCCAATCTTTTTGCTTCGTTGAATCTGGTGGGGCTGTGTTTGGCAAGACATTAATATTCCAACAATGTAAGGCTTCATCTAATAAATTATCTTCATCCATGGTAATAATTTGCGAGGTAATATTTTTTACTGATTTGGTTGATGATATGAAGAAAACAAGGGCTATACTTAATGCCGATCTTAGGCCTAGTCCTCCAGATTTACAAGGGAGAGTTGCTTGAAGCCATGAGTTAGAATCAAGTTTGAGGTTTAACTCTGTCATCATTTGTAGTATCTTTTGTTCGTATTCTTTTAAAAGAATTTCAAAACAGAAGGCACCAGAAGTTTTTAAACAATACTGTATTTGTGGTATTAAAAGGGCCTTTTTGAGAATGTAATATGCTTGATGGATGGGTAATTTTTTTAAGATCGATAGTTTGGGGAATAGTGATTGAAGGTGCTTCTTTAAAATATTAAAAACTCCCTTTGCATCTCCCAATGGGGCTCCTAATATACTGAAATCTTGTAAGGGTGTCAATCTAAAGTTATCTAATATGGTGTAAGATGGAGGCGGAGAAGGATAAATTTCGCATTTATTTATATTTAAGGATAAATTAAGTTCATCAAAGTGTTTGTTGATTATATATAGACAATTCTGGATTGAAGAAATGGTCACCGATCAATCGTCAAGGTACCAAACGTGTAGATTGAGTTTGCATGAGAGAGCAATACCACTTATTAGGTGTTTAAGGGTATAGCAAAAAAGTAGTGATTCTAATGGGTCACCCTGTTGGAGACCTTCTGCAGAATCAATAATAAATCATTAAATTTGAGTAAGGAAGGAATCTTGAACCCGAAATTTTAAAAAAGGGTTTGAGTTCAGCTAAACATTGAGGGTTCGGGTTCAGGGATTTGGGTTGGGTTCTCGTCCCTGCTTAATTAACAATTTTTATTGTCAAAAAATAATAATACTATTTTTAAATAGACCCTTTTATCACAAATCAAATTTTCTTTTAATTCTTAAAATATATCCAAATTAAGCATTTTTTTATTGAAAAAAAGACACATGTTTCTGATAAAGGACACTTATATAATATGGAATGTAAAATTTTAATATGTTAGAAATGCATTACGAAATAAAATGTTATATAATCATAAAATTGCTATTTGGTTAAGATTAGAATACTTTTATTCCACAGGATATTTTGCCAGCCAAGAATTTATCGTTGGACATTATTTTAGGCTAGTCTAATAATCAGTTCATAAATAGTTTTTAAGCTAACGATTAATCTCAGATGAAATATTACAAAAAGGTTTCTTATAAAGTATAAAAAGAAGCCTTATTACTAAAATTTGATGACATTTGCGTGTTTCAATTGTTTTAGGTTCGTTTCCATAATTTGCGATCCAAACTCCGAGCTTAACATGCAATTCCTGCTGCTATTTTTGCTACAATTGATACTATCCTTTGACCTTTTTTTTTTACCTTGAGAAATTTTGCTTAAACAGACATCTATTTTTTTGATCGCCACGATTTGTCCTTTGTAATTTGCTATAAAAACAACACTCTGAGAGCCACTGCTTAACCAGCGTATATTTTTCAATTTTTCGAAAGGAATGCACCAGTCATCTCGAGCAGCAACTATGTTAAATAGAAAATCTTGGTGAAAATGGCATGTAAATATATAATTACAGGGCATGAAGTTATTTATAATGATTATAACAAAAAAACATAAATTTTTATCTTGTTACATATATAAAGAAGTAATACTTGGAGTCATTTTGTTAGGCAATTGTAACTAATTCCCTTAGCGTGATAGATACAGGGATAGTATATCAATTAGGCACTTATAAAAATTTTAGCCATAATAATAACAAATAAACTGAGGTTTTATTTTTTAATTTTATACTTTACATATTCGAAGGTAGGATAATTAATTATCTTCTCCCTATATCCCCGTTTTAAAAGATGATTTCGTATTAATATGGAAAGAATAGGGTTTCGGAAATATTTCAGGTATAATATTGGCAGTTTAATAATTCCTTATAGAACTCAGATACTCATTTTTAATAAGTGGCAATAAATTTTGTTGATTATTTATTTATTTTTATATTAAAACAATTTTAAAAGGTTATTTATAAAATAGGAAAATACATATTTGTTTTAAAATAAAAATATGATTGATTAAATTTTCTTCTTTTGATCATTTTAATATCATGGCATCGCTAGCTCCACGAGCTAAAAGCGAAACAGTATTTTATTTGACAACTCAAACTGCTTTTTGTTAAACATGTTAGCCTAAACCAAGATTTTATACAATTCGCTATGATTGTGTTGATTTGTTCGAAATAATTCATTTCGCTTAATTCTGGCATTGTATAAAATATTATATACATACTTAAATTTTAAGCATCTTGAGCTCACACTTGCCACACTATAGAATATACAAATTAAGATATCATTTATAGCTAAAGCTTCATAACATAATTGATTAATGTCTATAGGTTGATATTAGAATCCTAAAATAGATAACTAATGACTAACGTGTTCAAAGAGGATGTCATTTTTGGCTTGAATATACATAAACATATTAATTTAAATTTATTAAATCATTTTAAACAGATTATTTTTATGCTATATGTTTTCTCAAAATCGGTATAATATAATCAAAATTAATTTTAATCTTATAAGTTAGTTTAAAATTTTTATTATACATAAATAAATTAATCCTTCATAGCTCATGTGAGGTTATGCAGTCGTAATATTCAGAAAGACAATTAATTTATATTAACTAAGTTATTTTTTATTTAATGGTTTCTAAAATCAATTTTTATATACTCCCTTTTAATAACTTTCTGAAAGTTATAAATTTTTCTTGTCTATTTTATGAAAATGGAAGAGTTTGAAATCATAGCCCTAAATGATATTGATGATACATCTTAAAATCTAATAACCCTGTTGCTATAGTATTAATAGTATTGCTGTTAAAGATTTATTTATAAAAAATATTCATAAAAAACACAAATTTAATAAATAAGTTTCAACTAAGATATTTATTCAAAATCTCGATATGAAATTTAGAAAAAGGAAGGTCTGAAAACCGGTTTCTATAAAAGCAAATATCCAATCAATTTTTTGAAAAAATTCTGCGATTGACTAATTTCTTTATTCTCGATGTTCAAGATGTGATTTAGAGTCTACTCAAAAGAAGATAACTATAAAAATATTAAAATTATATTATTTATAAATTGATATGTTAATAGTCTACTTATTTTTTATGAAGTCTGAAAAAAAATTAATTGAATTTTTCTCAGAATTTTTAAATAAGTGGAAACTGCATTACAGGCACAGGATAGGGGAATTCAAAAAATTATTAATTGTTCATTATTTATAATCTGGCAGCTCTTAAAAATA